GTAAAACAGTGTACTAAGATCTATGGGAATTACTGAGGTAGGAAAATAGCTTCCTTTTCCAGGAATGCAAAGTATTGCACAGAACCTCCCAAAATGGAGTAAGACACCTCAGAAAATAAAAAAAATAATAATATAATTTTAATAAGATTACTTTTAAAGGTGGGTCTTATGAGAAAATGAAACAAGTCTTCAAAGGCTAGATTTTGGAGAACAGTATAATATAAACTATAATGTTTATTATTCAGTAGATAGTGGCTAAAAATCTCAGAATATCATTTAGGGAGGCTACATCATGACTCAGAAACACAAAAAAGATTTATGAAAGTTTCCTTGAATCATTCATTTATTTATAATGATAAATATAAATCTTTATAAAATATTAAAATACTGTTATAGTAAATATATATTAACTATAAATATAAATCAACATATTTATCAAAGAAACTACCTGTATGAACCTCTATTCTATGTACTTGGATATAGCAGTAATCAGACAGAAATTGTTGCCCTTATGAATTTTTGATTTTAGTGGAGGATTACAAAGAAAACAAATATATAATAATAATAACTATTATTATTATTAGATGGAGATAAAGACTATGGCAAAAATAAAAAGAGGAAAGAAGGTAAAAATATATCAAGGAAGGAGACAGGGATACAATTTGAAGTAGGAAAGTCAGAGGTGGCCTCCCTGAGGCAAACTGACCTGATGGAGGCAAAGAGGTGAAGTAGATGAGGGCACTTCCTTAACAGATGTCGGGGACAACATCCAAGGTAGAGCAAAGAGCAGAGTAAAATCAAGCCTCTAAGATGGGGAGGAATTTTCACTGACTAGCAGGGTCAGCAATATGACTGCAACAGAGTAAATGAGGGAGCAAAAAATAGGTTGTTGTAGGTTTTATTTAAACAAGTTTTTGTATGATTTGGGTGATGTGGGTGAGAAGTCATGGGACTATTTCCAGAAAGGAGCACTAGGACCTGACTTAAGTAAGTTTAACGAGAAAGTTTAAACTGCTGTGTTGAAAACCAGCCAGAAAGGAGATATGGGAGAAGCAAGACCAGTCAGGTAGCAGGTATGAAAGGGAATGTGTCTCAGAGTTTATTTTGATTGCAGAGGCAAGGTATTTTCTGATAGAGCAGACACAGAGTATGAGAGGGAAGGAGTTAGCAATGATCCCCACACTCTGGCCTTTGTCACAAGGATACAGTGATTGTGTGCAGATCAAGTGTTGAGGTAAAGGACAGGAGTTCAGATACGACATAGGTTGAATTTAGGATGCTTATTAAACACACAAGTGGAAATCCTAAGCATGTTGGGATATATACTGGAGTAGAAACTGGTTTGGGTGGAGCACTGGGCTGGTGCTATCAGTCTGACAGTTTAGAGAAGCCAAGTTCTGAGACAACCTGAAACCAGAACTGGCAGGATACAGAGGGAAAAGAGAGAGCGTGCTATGCTCTGGGAATGCAACATTGGAGATGGAGAAAAAGAGTCAGAAAGGAGACAGAAGAAATCAGAAATGTGTAGTGACTTAGAAATCAACTCACAAAAAGGTTTCAAGGGAGAGAGAGTGGCTATTTTTTAAAATGCCACTTATAAGCTTAGGGATGATCAAAACAAAACCCCTGGCTGTTATTACAGAAGGGAGTACTTCAGTTTGCATTCTCTCCTTTACCACAGAATTTCTATAAACTCTTCCTGAATTGTGGGCTTTGTTTTCCCCGCCTTTAAAAAACGGAAGTAATATCCACCTCATGCTATAAATATTATCAGATTCTAGTAAAATATAGGTCTGCTTGATATTCAGTATGTGCTTAGTTCTTATAAATGTTCATATAAAATGAACATATAAAATGTTCATATAAAATGTTCTCTTTCTCTCCTTTATTGGACTATTTTAAAAGTTGAATATATGTTACAAGTGGTGCACTGAAGAAAAAAAAAAAAGTGATCTGAATCTCAAATTTAGATACCTAGTACATCTTATTTCTAAGCTCTTTTTATGAACCCAGAAAGAGAGTAGTGATAATACAGATCTAAAAATGCCAGTCTGACTCCTGTGAGAACAGTCAGGTTTATTTGGGAAGAAGACCTGGAGGCTGCCAAATTAATTTTCAGTGAAGATCTGTCTTCCTGAAGTGGACAGTAGAAGTAAAATGCTTTGTTAAAGGTAAAGAATATTCTATGTAGCTAAGCAACAATAAGCATGTTAGCAGATGAACTAGAAACTGGATAAATTTGAACAGAAGAAAGCAAGCGGCAAGAGTAAAGGAGGTGGTTCCTATACTAGGGAAGAAACTGCTTCTCAGCACTGTGAGGTGGAAGGGGCTGTGGAGAAGGCCACGTAATGTCAGCATGTGCTGGTAGAGGGGGTACTTCGGAAACCTAATGCATAAGTGGCTGGCTCAGGCCAAATTCAGACTTCATTAAGGCCAATGCAGCAGGTGGTTCTGACTCTGGGGCAGAGTGGACAGGAGACAAGTGATTCTAGCTCTGGTACTTGTACTTCTACTCCTCTCCTATAGAACTTCACTTTGTTTGCTGCTTTGACTGTTGTTGCTTAGTTGTCTTTCTTTCCTGATCAACTCTAAAGATAGCATGTGGCGTGCTGAATGGCATTTATTAAAAATAAAACTAGTTCCATTTCATGCTTAGATTTTCCCTGACTTCGAGGTGCCCAACATGCAAAATAAACAAGAAGTTTTCATCAAAAGGAAGTGGGCATCTGTGGATATGAAGACAGAGGAACAAAGGCAAATGCTGAAGAAAACATACTGGAATTTAAAATGATCAATCCAAAAAAAAATATATACTGGGGAGATGTGCTAGAGGGGCTCTTCTGCAGGACAAGGGGGAAACAGAAAGTAGAAACCAAGAACCAACAAAAGAATCAGAAAATGTTATTTCTGAAGAAAAACCCAAATACATTGAAGCCAGGAGTAAAATTCTAGGGTTGTAAAATGAAATAGTCTATGAAGTCCATATATTTGTTCATTTATTTAGCAGGCAGTATGCTAGGTATTGGAAATACTGTGAAATTTATAAAGGACCTTGATGCAAAGGACCTCATAGAGTGGGGACTACAGAGTAAACGCCAGGCTTCCTGCAAGACTTTCTCTGCTGAGATTTCTTGGGTGCCTAGGAGTTCTCTGGCTTTAGATTACCAGCATTCAGTAGCGGTCTTCAACCTTATGCCACCCAGTAGTCTAAGACCTTCCATATAAGGCAAAAAGGACCCCACCTGTAAATGGTTCCCTTTTCCCTCAGGATCAAATATAATTTTGTGTCATGACTTGGCTCGTCCTGCCCTTCAGTTCGATATGTAAACAAACACTGCTATCTTCCGGCTTTAGTCACCTGAAAGCATAAGGTCTGCACTAGACCATGGCTTTCTCTTGTCTGGGACACTCTTCCCTCTCCTCCTCATTTGGACTATTCCCACTAACGACTCAGCATAAGCATCACTTCCTCAAGCCCCTGTAGGTTAAGTACTCCTGCTGTTTGCTCCCACTGCACTTCCTTCATCACCATTATTGTTTATTCTGTTTTCTTGTCTTGTATGATAAAATGTGCAGATAGTTCTTTAGGATACGATGTACATCTACTTTGTCTAATATTCTACATTCAGCAATTTCTGCACAGTGTTTGGCACCAAGGTAGACTTTTTCATTGCTAAAATGATTGAATGTATAAAACCACTGGAAATAATGCTTGCCTGTCTAGCACTTCACGCAGGGCCGAGCATAAAGTAGCTGCTTACAGCTCTCCTGACTGAATGCATAAATTAATGCCACCCTTGGTCCTAGTCAGGCTAACTTACACACACAAAACCCTGTAATGAACAGGTTCTACATATGACACTTTCAGCAGCTTGTTCCATTTCCCAATGTAGAATGTCCATGATGAGTGGCACTGGGACCTTAAGCTACGTACGCACCTGGGTTCAATGTGCTACCTACTGGCTTGGACTGTCAGACCATTACACTTGATGAGAAAGCAACACCACCATTTTCACAAACCCTTGCAAAGAATACTTGAGATTCTCCCTGCTCCCCTATGTTTTCATCCCCTCCCCACCTAGGTAGCTACATTGTTCCATTATAACAAAGGCACCATGAAACAAAGAACCTAGCAAATGAACCCTGAACATTAAAGGTTATTTACCTTTGGAAGGTGGACATCATTGTACATTTTTAACCAAAAAAACGTTTTTAAATAGAAAAAGAAAACAACAAAAGCAATCCCTACAGGGTGGTAGAAATGATGGATATTTCCCTAGTTGGTAGAAGATGCATTTCACATTACATTGAAGACTAAATGCCTATAAAATGACACAGTGGAAAAGTTTTCCGTTTTTTATGACCAATAGTCAATATACTGAATATGAATAATCATGACAGAAAAATAGTAAATTAATGTGAAAGTGGTATTAATTAGTATCAACACTATATTATTGTTATATACATGCAGTGCAATTAAATGTACTAATACATATAGTGTATACTGGCATTCACACCAAGTAAAAAAACAGCTCCTGCCCTTTATAAAAATAATTAAACAATAATGACAAATTTATGAAGTAATAAATTACCCCAGCCTTGCAATGACAACATACAATGAACTTCAGAGCATTTCTATGTTTTCTAAGGCCTTTATTCCTTCTGTCTTTCCATTCTTTCAGCATGTATTAATAGGTTATGCCCAGGCATATGTACATAGCAGATTGAAAAGTGAGTACATATATTATATGAATCATCTATGTTTAAATTGTATTTTTTTTCTCTAAATTCTTAAAAATGATGGACAGCTACATGGAGAAGCATACTTTTTAAAAAAGAATACAATTATGATTTTATTGGCAATGAGAAATGAATATAATGTACTCTATGTACAAAAGCATATTCTCAGCAGTTTGAGCAAAAAGGTTCTCAATATGCACATCTACAGTATGATGGTCACACAAGTCATACAACATAATGGTTCTGTAATTTACTCTTACCTGGATTGCAAGGGCACGAGCTACAAGACCTCTAAGGTATTGCAAGGGATCTTCTGGACCTTCCCACTTGCTCTGCCATGTGAGAGGACACTGTAATTTAAAAGGGGTCCAAATTAAGTTTATATATACACTATTCAGATAAAAGACATTTTAATGTTAATATGATGAGGGAAATATTTTGGTATAATTCACATGTATCATAAATTCATTTCATAAAGATGTCTGTTTTTCTTTGACCTTATCTGATTAAAATTGAATGACATAGAATTAATCTGTTTCTGTAAAAGTTTTTTTTTTCAAGTAAAATTTCTTGGAACAGTAAACAAATGAAAATAATTTGTTATATAAAAAACAGTAAACTGATGTGCCATCCTTTCACACTCTAAATTTTATGCTTTCTCTGCTGCAGAGAAAGTTTATATAACCTAGTGTATTATAAAAAGGGGTAAGTTGCCATGGCATTCAACTTCTAAGATGCTCCCAATAATCCCTTCCACTTGGTTTTCCCATCCTGTGAACTCCTGCCCAGAATGAACTGGTCCCAGAGACTTGCTTCTAATGAGAGAACATGGTAAATGTGATCAAATGGCACAACTGAGACTAGGTTACAAAGTACTGTGTCTCGGAAGGAGCATCTGATCTGGCTTAGAAGACTCACTACTAATCATTACTTGCTGAAAATTTTATCATGACAAGATGATTATATGATTTTTCTTATTAGTCTATGAAAAAACTTAGTCTGGTAAATAATGATTTTTTAAAAGGAACCCAAACATATTCTTAGGATAAACTCTATTTGGTCATGTTGTATTATCTATTTTTATATTTTGTTGGATTCAATTTGTTAGTATCTTGTTGAGAATTTTACCTGTGTGTTCAGAAAGGAAATAAAAATTTGCATTTATTATCTCTTTAAGCTTTGTTATCAGGCAATGCTAGTCTCACAGCAAAAGAAGGAAGTATTCCCATCTCTTCAATTTTCTGGAAGAGTTTACATAGAGTTGTATTATTTTTTACTTAAATGTTTACTAGACTTACACCAGTGAATTTCAGAAGCTGTCTTTGTAGATATATTTTTAATAAAAATTCAACTTCTTTAATAGATACAGGCTACATTTCTTCTTACATAAGCTTGGCATATTGTGCTGTTTAAGGGATTTGTGTAATTAATATAAGTTGTTGAATTTATTAGTATAAGGTTATTAATAATATTCCTTATTATCCTTTTAATGTCTGTAGGAACCACAGTAATGACCCTTTTATTATTAACTTCTGGCTTCTCTCTTTACTGACCTCTCTTTTGGGATTAGTGATTAAAGATTGTTCCCACCTTATGTCCTATATGTTCATTATGCATACTTCAGTAGTATTTTCATTTGATGCTGTGGGATTTATAGTACATATCTCTGACTAGCTACAATCTATCTCCAAGCAATAATAATACATACTAATGTTAATAAAACTGCAAGTAACATTAATAAAACTTCATATAGAGCAAGAGAGTCTTATAACAGTATATTTCCATTGGCTAAATGAATGGAAAAAGACAAGATAAGCTCTGGAATTAAAATCTGTGTTAAAAGGAGAAAGCATATTCTATTATCCTGGCATCATGATAGTATTAAGGGATAAAGAAGGCGAATTCCAAGAAGCTAAAGATTCTTTGTACATAGAAAAATAGAGACTGATTTACATATATCAATATACATACAATTAAATTTTATAAGTGAAGTTAGAGATGTGGAAATACGGGAGTTCTATCCCAGCATTCAGTAGGCCTTTAGAGAGGAGTATATGAAGTTTAGTCCACAAAAAACTTGTAACTGTCTCTTCAACAAAGACTAATCCTTAGTTGCATGGTCAAATAAAATATTCAGGGAGACATGAAGTGGCAAGAACACTGACCTAGGAAACACAACATCAGGACTACAGTATGGGCTCTGACACTTTACCAGAATATCCATTCCTCTCAGCTTTAGTTTTCTAACATAAGTAAAAAGGGGATGGTATATGCAGCAAATTGGAAAAGGGCTAAAAAAGGAATCCAGTAAAGTGTCTTACAAAACATAGTTTTGTTTTTTTTTCTCATGGGAAATAAAACTTATTCCATATTAATAATTATCATTTGGCAAAACAGTTTTAGCATGACTTTTCTAAGCACTTATTTGCATGAAATTTGCAGGGGAATTTATGGGGCCCTCAACCATTTTATAAATATTAGAAAAATCTTTTCTTTTCCCCCAAAGTCCTGAAAATCAACGGTGGAAGTGGTCACAGATGATGAGAAAGGGGAGCTGGAGGGGGCAGAAAGATGATGTTGCAGGGCCTACTGCCCTTTTTTGATAAGAATTCTGACTATAGAAATAGCATTTGTCAAACCTTGGCATACATGACAAACATCTTAGGACTTGATAAAACAAGGGCAAGGAAACAAAGAGTTTCTCATTCAATATTTTGGGGTGGGATCCACGAATTCACACTATAAGTGTTCGGTGCTGCTAATGCTAGTAGTCCCAAAGTCACACTTTCAAACACTGTTATACAGAAGGCCACAGTAAAGAAAGGAGCAAAATGAAAATCCTGTTAACAGAGATGATCTTAATGCTTGGAAGTTTTAAAGTCATATAACAGGCTGTGTGTGTGTGTATACATATTTTAATAGAAGAAAATCTCTTCCCTTCAATTTTCAAAGATGTCAGTGATTCAAAAAAGATTAAAAACCAGTTGTCTGGAAATTTACAGAGTTAGGACTCACAAGCAATTTTGCTGTATTGTAGAGAGACTCCCTGATTTAGCAAATTAAAAGGCCACTTAATGTTTCCACCCAAAATATTAGGGTAAATTAAAATGTATAACCAATACATGTGCTGGCATTACACATACTTTTAATTTTTTTAAACCCCCAAATCCATTAATTTCTACAAAATGATTATCTAAGTGCTACTTAACAAGAATAATGAAATTTACTACTGTATCTTGTAAATTTTGATTTAAACCCTATGTTCCAATATATAAAAGAAGAATAGTATTTTCTAATTTGTTTAGAAACAAAGGTATTTTAAGTATTGTGACTTTTTACAAAAAAAGGTTTTCAGCATATCATCAGAAACTGTCAAGAAATAAGAGTTACAATTCTCTGTAGGAAAATTCCTGTACCAATCATGTCAGTCACAGTAAAGAAAATGTCAAGTACTGAACTATCTCCAAAATTACATTAAATCATATCATTTAATATAGAACTTGTCACATTTAAATGTAATATAAAATTAATTTTTCATCCAGAAATAAATGGAATAGTACTAAATTCACAATTTTTGGTAAAACTCACTAGAATGTTAATGTCAAAAACTATTTTATAGATCTTGTGTTAGTAAAAATCAGCCCTGTCTCATATACAATTCACCAAATAACCTGAAATATTCCGAAAGACAGTATCTGAGGAATAATTTAAATATGCTTTTAACCCATCATAAGAATTTTTAACAAAATCATCTTCAGACAGATTATAAAAATATCAATACTTCAAAATCAGTGATATTTATGAGGTTGTATTTCTTGTTCAAAGTGTAATACAGAACATGTAATAAACTAATAAGATTGTCTACAGTCTACATAATTACAGTTCATTAACAGAGATAGTGATGTATATCCACTGGAAAAAAAATCTATTTAAATTTATTAAACAGTGCAAAGCTAAGATTCTTCTCAAGTAAAAAAAAAGATTGTCTTTTTACATATATGAGAAAGAACTGGATATTGAAATGGAATGCTAGTTGGTTCCTTCCCACCTCCTCAATATTCCTGCTTGATGATATTAGTGTTTGGAGATGGGGTGCTGATGAGGTCATTGGATCATAAGGGTGGGGTCCCTCTGTTTTGTTAGTGTCCTCATAAGAACAGACAGGAGAGAAGAACTTGCTTCTTTTCTCTCTGCCATCTGAAGACATAGCAAAAAAGACAGCCTTTAATAAATCAGGAAAAGGACCGTAACTGACATCAGATCTGCTGGCAACTTGACTTTGGATTTCCTCGTCTGCAGAACTGTGACAGAACAGTTGTTGTGTAAGGTACCCTAAGTCTATGGTAATATAAACAATCTAAGTCAGAACTTTCTTTGTTAGTAAGGAAGACATTGGATGTTCTAGGAAGGTTATGTTTTTATTCAAACAGAAGACTTTCACGTTGACTATCAGTGTTTTCTTTATTTTAAAGATAAACAGTACAAAGAAAAAAATTTATTTCTTCCTAAATCCTCTAAAGCTCTAGTGAAATCTGTGAAAGATATCAAGTTCTATAAGGTTTATAGTCTCCAAATAGCTAAAGTTAATCTATCCAAGATGCTTCATATTTTTGTTTCTACCTAACAAATCTGAAATACATAGATTTTACTATCATATAAAATGGTCCAATTATTCAGCAAGACACAGAATAATTTCCCTTTCTTCTGCTCAAAGTATCCCAATTTTCCACTGGGTAACCATTCTTCTCTTACTTAATATTTGCTACATATGGAGCTGAATCCATTCCCAGATTCTTGCCTAGACATTTGGCTGGGGTCCTAGCCCACAAGAGCTTTAGGCATTCCCTGCGCATAGACTTGGTATAGGAATAGACATAAAACACATGCCAAAACTGGTTTGGATCACAGGCATTTGCAAGAATTTTGTTTGAGTTACCAGGGAACATATATTCTTTCCTTTGTTCTTGGAGCTCAGAATAAATAAGATTAGGATGCCACACTTGTAAGGAGGAAATACCACAACATGAAATAAAAATGATGTTCATACACACTTGCACAAATAGACAGGTAGCTAGCACAAATAGAGATCCTGCTAATAATTTAAAGCTACTATGTCAAGTTGACATAATGCTAGCTACCCTTAAATCCTTCAGTTATATCAGCCAATTAATTACTATATGGCTTAAATTAATTTTCCTTGGACTTTCTTCTTTACCTCAGGAAACTATAAGATTCCCAACAAGGGTATGCATGATGGAAGAGTCACTTATATTAATCAAATAAAAATACATATTTCTAGTATTGGCTTACCTTTTGGTTCAATAAAGCACTTGCTAATTTTTGTACTTCTGAACTCAATAAGGTAGTTCCTCTGATGACTTTGCTGAGAGCAGCAAGGGACTGATGAACACTTTGTACTAAGCGAATGGCATTAAACTGTTCCAGGACGATGAATGACAATATTGGAGATCCTTGTCGATCATTAGGAGGAGACACTCTCTGATGAATTAGGTTTGAATTCTGAAAGAATAATATGTCATATTTACTGAAGCAAACACAAATCACAGATATGTTAATGGCACTTCATAAGTTATTGTTAACACTTCATAAGTTACTGTTATTGCTTCATTGTACTATCTTGTTTTGAATACTCATATTTTATAAGTGACCAGATTAATCAAGTCTGCAAATACATAGGAAATTTTGGTGTTTACTAAGATTTAAAGTGGTGTGGGGATGACATTGAGACTAGGGAGTGAGAATTGAGAATGGTAACGTTGAGAGAAGCAGCAAAGGCGGCAGACAAATACAATATTTACCACTTTAAAAGAGGCTTGGATTGAAAAAATGAGAATGGTTTTTAATTCAATTTGAAAACTACCTGTATGGGTATTAGAAAACCACAAGATCCTGTACTCAAAGCCAGTAGAGATCATATCTCAGTATTTATTTCGATACCTATAATTTATCAGAGGTTCCGGTACATGGAATTTTAGAGCTTCACAAATTCAAGAAAAACTCCAGGAATCCCAATTGTTTCCGAATAGCATATATGGTTAGGAGGAAAAAAGTTCACCTTCAATAAATAGTACTCCAGAATAGTTAAAGAACTCTCAAGATAAATCGGGGAGGTCCTATTGTCTTACCTACTACCCATTATACTAATTTCATCTTAATTTTCTCTATATATCTACTTGAAACTCTAGTTAAGTATCCCTTTACTTTCTTCTAATGTAGTCACATTCTACAAGAACAGTCTTTTTACCTGTTCAATAAATAATTTAGTATGATGATCTCAATGGGTATTATCATTAAACTAATAATTATTAGATAAATGTTAGTGACATAATATCATCCCTGAAGAAACAGTTAAGCTATAAGCTCAAATTTATGCATTTATGTATACTACACCAGTATACAATAAATAATACATATCTATTCTAAGGTCAACTAACAAAACTAACATAGCATTTGGATTTTATAATTCACATAATGCTTTTTATTAAAGACCACATTCCTGGACCTCCTTGGTGGCGCAAGGGGTTAAGGCTCAGCACTGTGAAGCTATAGGCAGCCACTGCCGCAAGAGTTTGATCCCTAGCCAGGGAGCTAACCCACATGGCACAACAGACCTCCTCTGTCTCGCCTGCTGCTGCCCTCATCAGTTTATTTCAGTAGATCCACCTGTTCTGCTCCCCATCTGTTTCTGGTGAATTCTTTCATCCTCTGCACCTCTGGCCTGCACCCAACTCTTACATGCATAAATAAATAAATCTTTAAAAAAAATTAAAAGCACATTCCTGAAGTGAAAATGATATTTAAATATTTTTTCAATCGCATAATAATCAAGATTACCAAATAAAAAGTAAAAAGCTAGTTTAATTTTCTGTAAGTTGATATGAAAAATTTCCACTGTATTTGCTATTAGAATAAAAGCACCCACCAAACATATATCATTCAAGCAAATTCCATTTATCTACTAGTTAGGAAAAACTTACATTACTGAACATTTTAAAAGGGTTCTTTAGGGGAGTATTACTTCAAACAGTATCTTAATTCAAATAGCCTTTAAGGACCTCAACCATCAGAAATTTATCAACCAGTTTGAATCTATTTATCTTCATTTGAATGTCTTCTAGACTATGTAAAAAGTAATAAATGTATCTTCCACGGTATCTATATAAGAACTATAATTGTGTATATGCCTTCAATATATTTTCCCCACAAGATTATCAACTGTGTGTTTGACAAGTGAAAATCTATATAATCATTTGAAACTTTGGGTTATAAACATAATAGGAAATCGTTTCACACACACAGTATGTAAAGCAGTATTAAAATTTGAGCAAACAAGTGTTCTGTGTTTACTTTAATAAAGGGTATTCTTTTTGCCAATAACAAACAAACAAACAATAAATAAATAAATAAATACAACAGTCTAAAGTGTTCAGTAAGTGAAAATACAAACTGGATTTCAAGACTTAATATGAAGAAAGGTTGTAAAACATCACATTACTATTTTTATACTGATCACATGCAGAATGCCTATATTTTTGATAAACTTTTAAATAAAATATATTATAAAAATTAATTTTACTCATTTCCTTCTACATATTTAAGTTACATATACAGCTTCCATTGCATTTCACACTGTATTTCTATCTCATAGTCAAGTAAGATGCTGTAAATTCAAGAAGGAAGTTCTAGGAGAAAAAGAATTTGGTTAATGAAAGGTGAAAAAAACTGAAGAAAAATATGAAGAATGTTAAGGCAAACTGCAGTGTATTAGTTGTGATAAATAAATAAGAACATAATGAGACAGAAGACAGCAAGTATATTATAATGCATAACATAATCTACCTCCTACAGGCCTTCACAAAATTTTAATAAAAAATTAATGTATAATAACTCCAACCTAAAAATAAATGCAATTTCATACATTGGAAAAAGGATAAATTATAGGGAAGATTTGTAACAATGGTAATATGTTAGATGGTTACATAATTTTAAGACAAAAATCTCAAATTAAGTATTGTTTATAAGTTGAACATAACTAAAATCAAGTACATTATAACTTTCATACACAGCATGATTTTTGGTGAAACCATAGGAGGGAGACAGTCTCATCTTTATTGAAGTGATTACAAGAAAAGCCTTGATACAAGCAGATTTTTCTCGGATATTTACTGGTAAAGCTCCTGGAGGATCTCTGTGGCACTTGTGGGGGTGGTACTGTCTGCTCTAGAGGATCTGCTCTGATTCAAGATGACCATATAGAAGGCTCTGAACCCATCTCTTGTCATAGACATACCAAGTCCACAGTATTTAGACATATGGAACAATTTCCTCTGAGGAAAAACTAAATGCTACTGGGTGACTAGGCAAACATGAGCATTGTATATGAAAGCTGTAGGAGAGGCTGGGATACAAACTGCCCAGAAAACCCACCTTCAGTATTGGATAGACTGAAAACCCAGAGATTCTGCCTGGTGAACAAATGGCTTCAACCTACTGTTAAGATCGGTCCCTGCATGAGATGACTCACCATTACTGATAAAAATTCCTGAGCTTCCCCCCTGAGGAGCAAAGGATTTAAACCTTACATCAGACATCACAACCTTTTAAAACCTGCACCTATGAACTCTCAAATATCTAACTTTGAAAATTTGAGGATTTGCCTCCTGACGCCTTTGTAACTGTAGCCATTTGAGCATCATTGCTTGGACACACACCTGCTACAGGGCAGCATGAAGCAGTGGGTCATGTCCATACTCACAGGAAAAGAGGTTCACCTGCTTATATAATACGGTCAGCTGAAAGGAAGGAATTTAATTAACACAGACTTCTAGGAGTCTTCTGGAATGCTCTCCAACTAAGAGACAGTGTACCACCTGCATGAGGCTCCCACTTGGCTCTAGACTTCAAAAGAAAACACTGGGATTTCTGGGAAGGATGGGAGATTTGGCATGCCTCTGGAGTCTCCATTTTTATGCCAGCACCCCAAGGGACACTTCTAGTTCATCTGGCTCTGAGGGTCAAGGAAACTTGTATTCCTGTGGTAGCTCATGAGTGATTTGGTGGCAGGTGCCACCAAAGGTAACTATACCTAAAGGGGGAGGAGGGGCTTCTTTATGTCCAAAATACCAGCAGTAATGTAAGTCAATGTTACCTCAACTTAAAAAAAAAAAAAAACCTATAAACAAGAAAAAATTAAAATGCCCCTCAAAACACAAAAACAGATTTGCAATATGAACAACTCAATAAATGAGATAATATAAAATAAAATAAAAGGTAACATAAAAAGCTATGAAACAGAAAAACCTAATGGAAGAATAAATCAGTAAACTGGAAGATAAAAACAGAAATGAGCCAATAGGAAAAGAGAAATAATGTGTAAAAAAAAATAAAAGAAAGAAAGAAATGAGAACTATTCATTAGGAATGGCAACAAGGATTACAAAAGGCAACATTAGGATTACATTGTAGATATCAAAAAAGGTCAAGAGAGGGAGAAGGAAACAAAAAGATGATGAAAAGAAACAGGCTTCCACTATCTGGGGAAGAACTGAATATCCCACTTCATGAAGCAAACAAGTTTATCTAACTACAGAAACTAAGACCAAGAAAAACAGCAATGAAACTACCAGGGATTGAAGATAAAAGAATAAAGGTAACTCATAAAGGTATTCTCACCAGGCCTTCATCACCATTCTCAGTATCAGGAACTCTAAGGTCAGGATAGAATGGAATGACAAAAAATATTCAAAGGGAATTCCCCAAAAGTGAATAAGTAGAAGAGCACACATTCGGTAATAACAACTGTCTCTTGCAATTTCACAGATGTTCTTTAAAAGTACTGACAGGAGGGCCTCCCTGGGTGCACAGCAGTGTGAAGCTGCCCGCAGCCTCTGCAGCGCCAGTTCAATCCCTGGCTGCAGGGCGAAGGTCCCACATGGCGTGCAGACCTCTCCTGCTGCCCGCTGCTCCCCTCAGCAGTGTACTTTGTCTGCCTGTTCTGGTCCCCACTCTGGCTCTGGTGAATTCTCTCACCCTCCGCGCTTCTCACTGTACCCAGTGCTTGTATAAATAAATAAATAAATCTTAAAAAAAAAAAAAGGTACTGACAGGATCCAGGCCACAGTAACTAAAAATACGACACTTTGCCATATTAAATATTTTGAACTGAAGGATTCTGAGAAACAAGTGGTATAGGAAGGAGTCTGACCTTTCTTTGAATCAGGTTATAAGACCCTTAGGTGAAAAACACCCTGTAGATAGTGGAAGGAAAGAAACATCCTTATCGCTGAAGATACAGGGATGTGAGAAGAATCTGAACAAGCAATTAACTCAGACTGCGCAGGTCCTATCATCTATCCTAAAACTTTCCACTCTTCATCAAATCTGGCATTAAAAATAATCAGATTTAGGGCCTCCCCGGTGGCGCAGCGGTTGAGCGCTGGGTTGCGAAGCTGCCCGCAGCCTCTGCAGTGCTGGTTCGATCCCCGGCTGCTTCCTGGCCAC